GTGGAGGTAATAATGGGATTAGGCTCGATAAGACGAAAACACTCAGCTGCTCGTTTTCACTGCTGGCACCGAAAAACTATTCAGCCGGTTGGATTTACTTTGAAACGGGGTTAAAAACAACGATTTTGGTGTTAAAGCGCGTATTGATGGGTTTTATTTTGTAAAACTTTCATAAAAATGTATAATAATAAATATTAAAAAGCCTTTCATATCTAATTAAGCCAATTTAACAGCCAATAATTGAGATATCTGCCAATAAAGTGATAGTTTTGCTCATTCTGGGAGTCGTTTTTTTAAGGACTTGCCAATAATCTAATAATAATATCCAATAATTTAAGCAGTTATTATATTATAAGCTCATAAAACTGAACTATATTGTAGTTATCAGACTTTCAAACGTATTTAAGAGTAATTTATTAATTGAACTGAATTAAGAATCACCTGAGACTTAAATAAAACTTTTTATTACCAAATTGCTCAAAACTGGGGAAAAAAAAAAAAAAGTTCTGTTATTACTTTATGGGCTTCAGTTGTTATATTTAAATGATTTTGAGGTAATTATTACATTTTTGCTCAAACACTGATTTTTTTTTAGCATTATTTTACATTATTACTCAATATCGTTTAAAAGGCTCATTTTGTTTCATAATACAATAATTGACTACTCTGTTGGGAATTAACTGTGTTTGTCAGAAAAACAGCCTGAGGAGGAAAAAATGCTTTTGTGTTTTTATTATTATTAATAATAATAAATAATAATTGTTATTAATTTATGTAGTTCTGAATTTAAGTCTTAGCGGTTCATGTCCAGTATATGTGGGGTCTGCAGAGATGTTTCCTCTTCCTGTACGAATGAAAAATAATCAATAAATCAAACTGGAACACATATAGACCTGATTACAGGACGTTTAGGGCTTTAGGACATGATTAACAATCAAACTTAATGGCATTTCACCAGTTTGTGTAGATTTCAATTAAATTTGTTTACGAAATCTAATATTTTACTTTATGAAAATGGCACAGATGCAATATATTAAACATTCAAACCTACATTTTGTTGGCTGAAAATGTAAGATTTAAATCCATGTGTTCTCATAATTTCTCCACGTAAACTGGAGCTACTGTTGGTGTTGACTTTTCTGATTTGATACCAGTTGCTTGTGGACACAGTAGTGGAAGAACGATTCAGTTCTTTTCATTTAGTTCTGGATTCTGACATTTTTCCAGCTTCGTTCACTTCCTGTTTCCCCACATTTCACTGATTAGAAGAAAAGGTGGAGAATGAAGGCAGACGTGATGTGTTCACAGCGCATGTCGGCGAGAACAGAGGGAAGAATGTAATCGTGCTATTTATAGCAACTGTTGCTGTTTAAAAAAGACGTTTCTCCATCCTCTCCTCCGCCAGCCGCCCACCCTTCTTCTCTTTCTTTTCTTTTTGCCTAAAACGATGAAAATGGCTCCGCAGATGTCCTTCCTCTTTCCCCCCAGCTTCCCCTCTTATCATCTCGTCATCCTTCTGTCTCCGCGGTCGGCCCATCGCATTGTTCAGACCCTCTTAGCAGAGGATGTATAATTCATCCCTCCTCCACTGCGAGGTTGCACACCAGTCATGAATTGAGTCGGGGGGGAGGAAGGAGGGATGCAGGGATGGAGGAGAGAGGGAACAAGGAGCCAATGAGAGGAAGCGGCACTCCGTGCCAAGCATCTCAAGTCGGGTTTGTTTGAGACTCGGCCGTCTCATGGAGGTTCTGCAGAGCGTCTATTTCTGTTTTTATTTGTTGGCGACAAAAACAGAATAAATGACATCATGATAAACGGTATTCACATCCGTTTAGCGATGATTTCTGCATAATTAGGAACTTGCATCACTTCTTCCACTTCAAGAGTGAAACATAAAACGTAACTTTATAGGCTGGTGCTGGTGGAGAAGATGGTGAAACGTTCGAAAATCTAAAGCTTCTGAGTCTTAAGGTGAAATTATGCATGAACAAAAAGTCTAATTTTTGCTGTTTTACACAAAAATAACATGAAAAATTAGCGATGCACCACTTACGATACCGATATCTGAGTTTCAGCATCGACTGAAACCGGACTGGTTTCAAACAGAAAAACAGTGCTGAACTAACTCTTATTTTTGCTTTTAAAAACAGACATTAATGTGCTAAATTACAAATTTATTTGATGACTCTGCACCAGTACAGCTCATTTAAATACACCAATAACTAACATTGTTACTGAGGATATGTAAAATATATTTTTCAACACGTTTCCTTGACTTTGTTTAAGATGTACAGGTTGTAGAAATGCTTTATTGAAAGCTATATATTTAAATTTTATGTTTGAATTTCCATTATTTCTCTTTCTGGACCTCTAATTAGGCTTGTCGCAAAAAGTATTAAATCGTTTAATCGCATGATAAATTAAAACGAACTCAATAATTTCCATTTGCATGATTTGTTGCTTTCTCTCTCTACCAAAATCTGGATGATAAAAGTCTTCGGTCTGGAGCTCTGGTCTCAATTAGCCTCGTTTTGAAGGATCTTTTTGATTACAGAGAGTAAATAATTAAATTTGAATGTGTTCTTACATAAAAATGGTCTCAAAATAACAATATTATCGTTTATCAGAATAAGTTCTTGGATGATTTATCGGCCAGTAAAATTTATTGTCATTGCGACAGGCCTGGCTCTAATGTTCATCCAGAAACTGCCTACTGGCAGAACTGCTGATATTTTTAATTAAAAAGTGATTCAGCAGATTTCAGAGTGTTTGTGCTTAGGGGAGCAGAGCGGACCACCCAGAGTGGATCCGACTCTCCAGCTCCTCGTACAAACTACAGCTGGTGTAGTTTGATCTAAATTGTGTCAGACTTGCTGCGGCAGACTGAAATCCCTCTCAGATTCTTTGTTTTCTTCGGCTCACTGCTTCGTGTTTGACCAGCGCAGAGCCGGATTATTATCAGCTTTATAAGCCCAGAGATTACCATGCGTTTAGGAACATTTTACTGTTCATATTTGGTATATAATCTTATGATTCACTGAATAAATTCAATGTTCTAATTTCATGCATACACTCTTCTTGGCTTGTTCGGTGAAGCAGGATGTGCAGCAGCTCCTCTGACCTTTGACCCGCAGATGCAGCAGGAAGCGAAGCAGCCTTCAGGTGTGATGAAAAGGATTTTTTTTTTTTTTTGCCTCCTGCTTTCTCATAAATAACCTGCCAGCGCTTTCAGAACAAGCGGGCAGGTTGCATGATGACAAATGGTCTGTTTGAGTCAGACGTAACGAGTCACACTGCTGGCTGTCGGCTCTGTGTTCGCCTCGCCGCCTGATGGAACTAAAATAGTGCTTTGGCCTCACACTTCACAGAGACCCAGGACTAAAAATAAATACTCCAAAGAGAAACGGGCAAAATAATGGAAGTTTACATAAAACATGATTCAAACGATCTCCAGATATTCTTCTTGTTCTTTATCAAGCAATGAATCTTTTGTTTTATCATCTTACAGCATGTAAACAACCGTTCTTTAACTGTTGTTGGACAATGATAAGCATTTGAGATAAAAAACAACCTTTTCAAGTAATATAATGGCATAATAATGCAAGAACACATTATTAAAGATCAATAAATTCTAATGAATATTTAAGACATTTTAAATATCCAAAATAAAGAAACAAAGCAACAGGAACAACTAATGAAGATGAAGTCTGTAAATAAAACTGTTCTTCAACAAAAGGCCAAAGCACCAAAATGAAGACTTTATCGTTCAGTTTTTGGTAGAAAAAGAGAAAATAAATAAATGATGAATCATGCAAATGGAAATTGAGTTTAAATTGATCATGCAGTTAATTATTGCTTATTGTGACAGGCCTAGTCATGATAAAAATACTTAATAAAATATTACAAGTACTCAAACGCATCACTGCAACCTTTTAGAAAACACATCAGGTTCTTTGTAATAAAGATTAAAAAAAATGTATTTGACCAAGTTCAGCACACACTCTGGGACATTCCCCAGCATTTTGTATTTTTTAAAGAAATATATTGCTTTTTAAATTGTTTATGTTTTAATGTTTCACCAAACTGAAGTCGCTCAGATGAAAATCAACAACACGTAAGATAATGACAGCTCGTACCAGCTCCCCGTTTTAAAATGTAACTGTAGGAGAAAAATATGATTTTAAATTTTCCTGTATATTTGATCTTCATCCTTGAATAGTTTTAAAATGTTCAGTTCTATTTCAAAACTTTTCTTAGCTTTACTTTTTGCTTTGTAATCTGGGTTTTAAATATTCCATGAGTTTGCCACTTTTCATTAACGAAAATGATCTGAAGTATCTCTGCCAAAAACTCTCCCCATAACAGATTGTTCCAGTAATTATTGTGATAAAACGTATTGTTTTTTGACACAATTTTCAAGTAATATATTGATAATGGCATAACAATGAAAGTTTGTCCTCTCCAACATCAATAAACTTTAATTGTAGAAAAAAAAGACTAAACAATGGAACTGGAAGATATTTTAAATATCCAAAACAAAACAACCAGAAATGGTAAATAAAACAGAAATTATAACCCACACAGAACAGAAACCATAAATAAAATGCATAATAGTGTCTCTGTAAACACAATTGCCCTTAAAACTATTGATCAGAATGGAAATTATTGATTTAAATTTCATTTAAAATGCGATTAATTGCATATTGTGACGGGCTCATTGACATGATGTGGATTCTCTATTTCCCACCATCTGCTGCCATCTAGTGGACATCCGGCTGCTTCAATGTGAAATAATTTGAAAACGGTCATTACTCAGACTCAGTGCTTTTACTCATTTTTTTAATTTTTACAAACTTTTCTATCATACTCATCCTCTCACATTGTTACAAATTAACCATATTACATACAACTTGGGTTAAGTTTTTTTGGTTTCAGGAGAAAATGTCGATTTTGTTTTCCCCTCTTGGTTTATGTTTTCCTTCATGTTCCAACCCGTCCAGCTGTTCACTGCAACCTGAGCCAAAATGGCATCGACCACCAGCTGCGTGCCGAGGACATGACTTCTCAGCTGGAGGAGGACGAGGAGTTGGTGGACGCCGAGGCCGTCCTGCTGGACGACGACAGCCCGAGTTACCCGGACCTCCGCCGGCCTTCGTACCACCGCCGCTCCCCGCCGCACCGCTCCGTCTCAGAGTCCGAGCTGACCCGGGTAAGACATTTGTGTTCCTCGTCTGTTTTACGGATGTAAACGACTAGTTTACTTACAATTAACTACTTTATTAGATTCAAATTGGTTCAAATGATTCGATTAGCTAGTAACGTCCGTTTGACCTTCTGTTAGTGTTGTAGTTTGGCCGCCATCCAGCAGTGGGCGCCACTGGTCGTTCTCAAGCCGAGCTGCTCATAAAGAAACAAAGATGGCGGAGATAATACCACAAGTTAAGGGAAAACAGTCCGAAGAGAGTCCGGTTTGAGATGCAAAATGCACTTTATGCGGTTTTGTTTTGAAATAAAAACAAACGGCAAGCTTCTTAAGTTTCACTTTATCCAGCCGAGATTCATGGCGGAACAGCTTCCACTTTTTATTTTAAAAATTGCTGACGTGCTACAAAGGCGAGGATGTGGTAGCAGAAAGGCGAACGGGAGGATGCAGATAAATTGTAACATGACAGAAAAAAGTCATGATCCTAATAAGCAATATTGATTTTAGATTTAGAATATTGTAGCTGAGCGAAGTTTTAACATTAATTAACAGCAACTTAGGAGGCTCCTGTCTATATATCTTATATGTCTAAGTTTAACCAAAATTCTGTGTTTATTCAGTCAGTATTAAGTCTTAAAATTCAGTATAACAAGAAAATGTAGCCCTTCATGTTATGAAAAGACAGACTCTTCTTGATGCAAGATGGATAAAAAATGTCTGCCTGCCAATTAATTGTTAGTTGATGGATCATAGAAATAAACTTTAGATCAACTCATAATTTGATAACTTGCATCCCTAGTTTGTTTTCAAACAACTTCAGTAATAGTCTCTATTGATCACTGAAAACATTGTTTAAATCACAGCTCTGACTCTGAATAAACCAGGAAAGGACAATAAATGTCTTGCAAGTCTCTCATCTGTTGCTACGCGTATAGATGTGCTATCAGGAACACAGAGAGATCCTTTACTTCGTCTCCAGAAATAGTGATGCGGGGATGGAGGCAGGAGCGGCTGCTTCTCATGCACAGCTCATGTTCTCCTTTCTCGGAGTAAAACATCTGGTAATCAGCTGTCAGTCTGAACGAGTGGAAGCACTTAGAGTGAGAAAAGGGCTCTGTGTAAATCCTGGATGAGCCACTTAAAAACCAGACAGAGCCTCTGATTCGTTTAAAACACAAGGTGCGCTTCCTTTTCAGGAACGTATTTGCACAGAACAAAAATAGTTTTCTGAGGTGGTTCTCTGCTGGTACTGGAGTAAAACCAGATTATCTGGGTAGAAATTCCCCTAGAAAACCGGCACTGGTAGACATGTACTTTGAATTGTCAAAGCAGAGCTTTAAGGATTAATTAATGTCTTGTAATATAACTTTAAGAAGAGTCGTTTTTCTCTGTCAGTGTTCTTACAGAGTCTGCCTGACGGATAAACAACATGGATGGTGAAATTTGTGGCTTCAGTCTGTTTTTCTTGTGCTTCTCGCATTGGAAAACTGTAGCTACACTAAGAACAAATAAACATGTTTTAGATTGAACTTACACTGTAAGACTTTGCTATATACTTTAAAATAGAGAGGCAGCTTATAATATTCAATTATCTTATAATGGTTAATTTATTTCAGCAGTTAAGCAGTTTAAACTTGTGATGGAGTTCGACTCTTAGAATTAATTTTGATTATGGTTGGCTCTCAATAAAAACATAAGAATTAAATTATTCAGACAATTAGAAAGTTATAGAAGACTAACTAAAACAGAGGATTTTGGCTTCTGTATTGACAATTACACGGTAAAAACACAAAACAAAAAAGAGCTGTGTACAAGAATATTGATACAAAAAATTAGTCAAAGAACAAAAGAATAACTTAAGTGGATTTAGAAGCAAAGCACATTCAAGAGTTCGGACCAATAGATGTTTCACACAACTTGGGTTCAATCTCTCCTAGCCGACGTTCACGTTTAGATTAAAATAAATCTGCATTGTCTTTGGACATGAAGGCCTCAGAGTCTGGAGGAAGAGTGGACGGACGCAGTATCAAAACCGTTTCCAGTTGGTGATGATTTTCAGTTGGCTACCATTTCTGTATCATTTTCTGATGTAGTAGTACGATTTTCTGAGAAACCAAGTTTTATATTAAATCATTTTTAAGTTTTACTATAATAACTAACTTTTCTAATTTAATGAGATGTAACTACAGCTATAATAAAACAATTAGCATCTGTAAAATAATGCTAGGTTACCAATAGATGCTACTAGTAGCTAGGTTACTACTAGCTTTGTGCTTAGTTTTATGGAGAATCCCATTCATTGCTAACAATTAGCATTAGGGCCTTTTTCATCTGATCAAGAAAATACTAATTTGTACACTTAAAATAACAACGAATTTAAAAACTCACAGGAATATTTTCTTTAATAGCTAAACAGATTAATACATTTCTTTGGGTAAATAAATAGTTTTGTTATTAAAGTTTTTTGATGAAATTGCAAGAAGTCTTGACATTCCGCTGGATGTCAAGACAACAAGCGGCTGGTTGTCTTGACAACCAGTGAAAAATGCTACTTTTCTACCTAAAAGAAACATTTTGGGTAGAAAAAGTGTTTACCAAACTGCTGGGTGGAGATTTGTTCTGGATGAACCAGTTTGAAAACTAATGAAATAAAAATAAAAAAGCCTCAAAATGCCTCCAGGAAGCCTGGAGTGCTGTTTGCCAAGATGGCTGCCTGGAGGTGGCCTGTTAAAAATTAGCACTGGTTTAAAACTTTTGCACCATAATGTATAATTGAAGCGACAGAGCTCGCCATCTCAGTGTCAAGTGTCTGCATTAGAGTTAACATCCTCACTCTTTTTGAGAATCTCCAACAGATCAAGTGCATTAAAGCTTAAATTATGAATAATGTTAATGTTTTCCATTAGGGAGCCTAGAAGCATTCATTAATGCATGCAGAAGCTGAGCAAACCGAGCCGCAGCAAGTTCACTTCAATTAAAGTCACAGTGACACGACGGCCCAGAGTATCGCTGATGCTGCGCTTTGGCATGCGATTTCAAATTAAATCCATCAAATCTGATTTTTCAGAGCCGTGTTATTTAAAATAGGAACACAAGCTGCTCTTTTTTGGGGGGAAATAAACTCAAGAATGTCAAATATTTAGTTTGTTTCAGGGGTAAGCATTTTGTTTTGTACCTTAAAACAGGCAGGAGTGGAAAATAAATCGCAAAAATTAATAATTTAATGTTATTACTCAGTTTTTTAGGCCCTAAAAAAATTCCACATTGATTTCATGTTGAATATTTAGAATTTTATTAGTTGTATCTTCCACGACATGTTGCCCTATTACAGTTTTAAAAAATCTATACAGTTATATAGTTTGGCAATTTGGATCAATTGTAGCACTTTTAAATGTGATTTTATTCATTTTCACCAAGTAATCGTATAACAAAGCAGTATAATAATTTGTAAAGTGAAATAAAAAACTTTTCATGATGAATAAATGGAGCTGAAAATGACAAAAACAAAACGCATCAAACATATTAATGCTCTATCTTTTTTACATTTTGTCATAATGTTTATGTATTGATAAATTGCTTTTTCTTTGCATTCATGCTTTACTTTGTTGGTCGGTCACACCCCAATAAATACATTAAATAAGAATAGTGATTAGATCATGATTTTATATATTTTACATATTTTGTTGTAATTTAATAAATTTTGCCTAAAGTTATTGTGATGTCAGTTTTTCACCAGCAGTTCTGCAAAAATCTGAATATTGTTGAAAAGTTAATGAAAAGTAAATGAAACACATGATCTACATTAATTACATAACGTAAATTTTTCAAGCTTTTATTTCTACTGTGATGCTTTTTGAATGATATTTGATGAAAATAATCAGACGTATAAATTACAAAATATCTAGGCTCAATAAAAAGTATATTTAATAGTCATTTAAGTTATTTTCTAAAGGTGCGAGCCTCATCTGAACACATATAGTAAATAATTAAATATGACTATAATGTTGCTTTATTTATTTTTTATCCTAAAACTTACATTTTTTTTCCCTGTATTCCTAAAAAAAAATCTGCATTATTTTTCCTCCATTCTGCAGTTATTTACTGTGTTGGTCTGTCACATTAAATCCCCAATAAATACAAGTACTGAAAATACATTTCAAGCACTTTAAGAAAAAATAAATATTTTAATCCAAACAAATGTAGCAAACCAAATCACTGCTGTATTTGTAAGACCAAACGACTAAAAAAAAGATCTTTAATTTGACTCTGATTAAATCTTAACACCTCATAATGTCTGTATTTCAGTCCAGCTATATTTCGGTTAATCTCATCAACCGTATCGCTTTCTGAATCCGTGATGCTGATGAATCATCGCTTGGATTTTTAATGGAGTCGGAGCTTTTTAGCTCAGATTAAACATGATGTATAAAAACCGGAGGAGAGCGAGCATCCACAGCAAATCATCAATCAGTACGCAGCTCAAGGTGAGTTCATCTCATCTGGGTTTAACACGCCCTGCTGTGTTTTATGGACCGGACCAAATATGAAGGTCGGGGGCCTCTGAAGGGTCGCCTGCGCGCTCGTGTTCAAGCTGCAGCCTGGAAATCCAATTTCAAACAGAGGCTTCGTATGAAAGCTCAGTAATTCATCCGGGACGCAGACGCCGCCGCCCTGTCTGTGTCTCTCAGATTAATTAAGAGAAGTGGGGTGGGGGGTTTCATCTCCTGCCAGGTCTGGTCGGAGGGAGATGGGCCGATTGAAAAGGGAGCCGAGGGACGGCAGAGCTGGCAATCAGCCGCACAGCAGAGGCAACATGGAGCTTTGAGCCTCCAGCAGCCGGTCACTTGGTGCCAATCAAAACCGACTAAAAAAATTCAACTCCAACTTTGCTGGAGACTAGAGATGGAAATCGTTCAGTACCTAACGATTCAGTTAGATTGTCGGACTCATAATTCGATTCAGAAAACAAATTTTCTGCTCAAATGGTGACTGACGAGAGAAGAAAACAAATAGCATCTGAATCCCTTTTATTGTCATTGTGCACGAAAGAAAGCACAACAAAATGTAAAAAATGTCAACTCTCGAAGGCAAGACAAATATTTATGTAAAGTAAGTATATCTCAAAGTATTGGGGCAGACAGAAAAAAATAGGAGTAAATTTCTGACTTAAATCTCTGAAAAGTTTAGATTAATCTCAGAAATTATCGAGAACTTTCTGAGCTTGAAAAGTTGAAAATTTGCTAGGAAAAAATCAGAAATTTTGAGTTTGGAAAGTCAAAAACCTGTTAGAAGAAAGTACATAGATGTTATGTGTACGCATAGTGTTAAATAACAGTTAAAATGTAGGAAAAACAAACTAACTTAGTTGCAGTCCTTGCAGGTGCCTTCCTCATCTCGGTGCAGTGTTCTGTTCGGACACCAGGGGGCAGTATGTGACAGTGAATCCTGCTGGTGTGGCGGTTTAATGTAAATCTGCAGCTTCTTCCTGGATAAAGACAAGAAATCACCTCAGACAGGAATGAACATCTGTGCAGCAGTTTAAGTTCTCAGATTGTAGAGTTTATAAAAATTATAGATTTACTGTGGGGTTTTATTTTAAACCTTGCTGTAAGCAGTGGATTTTAGTTTCAGTTCTGCTGTAGAGTTCCTGTTTCCATCAGAGGGGTATTGATTTCTCTCTGATAAATTGGAAGCTGTATTCTGTTGCTCCATTTACTCTGGGGCGTTTTACACTTTAATTGGTCGTTTCCGATACAACAATAAAAACGACACAATGTGCAGTATAAAGCTGGTTTGTAGCTGTGAATTTACCACCATATTATTCTGTTTTTGCTCTTTTGTTGTTTTTTGCATCTAAATGTTACTGTTAATCAAACTTTTATATAAGCCAAAACGAAAACCAGAGGAAATCAAAAATGCAGTTTTAAAACTATCTTTACATTTAATAGAATAGAAGAATACAAATAAACAAACAATCCTCCAGTCCAGAGCAATGTGCAACTGAGTTGGTCAATTAAGCAATGTATAGTGTGCATGTCTCGTTGGGAATTAAGACAGATTATTTACAAATGGTGACAAAAAAGTTGCAAGAGTATGGATGTAAACACTTAATTAAGTGGGAACTCAGATTATTAAAGGAATATAAAGTTATCCAAACCAAAATGAGAAACCCGTCTTGCTGCTCTCTGTAAGTTATAAACTGTGACTTATACAGTTTGGGAAAGCTGCATTCCTTTACACTCAGGGATCAAGAACATTTGACAACAGGAAGTGGGTCAAAAGATCTAAAAAAAAAATCATGCCTTAATGAGTGAAATTAAAACATTTAATAAAACATTTGCTTAAACATTTTCTGAAACTGCGGTACTTTTAAAGATCTTCAGCAAGTAGTCAAATTATTAATCAACATCAGTTCACAGATTTTGGTGAGACTTATTGTGAAGTTAGGGGTAAAGTTTAGGACTTTTTGGAAATGATCCATGACAGATTTAGACTTAAAAGGCCGCTCAGTGAATGCTTTTTGATTTATTTTTAAATGTTTTCCTCTCATTCAGCCTGGATACGTGAAGCTGTCCAAACCAGTGGCCCTGTGGACTCAGCAGGATGTTTGCAAATGGCTGAAAAAGCACTGTCCCAATCAGCATCAGATCTACAGCGACTCTTTCAAACAGCACGACATCACAGGTACATCTCTGAACCCAAACTGTGATCAATAAGATCAGTGTGTTTCGCACAAGCACCTTAAACAGATATTATGGCTGCTGGACACAGGGTGTGGTTAAAAACATATTTATTACTTCAATTTGCTCAAATCTTGGGCTAGCACTTAAATTTGGACATTTTTAAGCCTCCAATGCAACAAAACCTTTATAGAACAATAAATGGTTAATATTTTCTTTCTGTTTTGGTTGGACAAGATGTCAACGCAGTAGCGATGCAGACAAATCTCAACACAAGATCTTCAATATATAAAAGACTACTTCTTTTCAAAGTGAAGTCTGTGTTGACAAAAACTAGCTAGTTTCACAAGTGACGTCATCGGATACTCTCATTTTGAAGTAAAAAAGGAAGCAGTTCTACAGTTGTGATCATGTGATCTGTTGTATTCCCCTGTAAAATATGTTAAAAAAAATTTTTTTTAATTAAAAACAGCTTTAAGTAAGTGAAATCCTGAAGAAATCTGCTTCAAATGGGAAAGATGTTCGTTTGCTGTAATGCTAATGCTAGCTTGTGGACTACTGGCTAACTGGCTAACAATGCTAATGTTAACTTTAAGGACAAAAATGTGGTTTCAGCCATGTTTTTTTTTCTTTTCATGGATACATTTTATTTTATAAAAATGTTACTTTCCCCTTCAGCCACCATAAGTTGGATCCAATCTTGTTAGCCTCAAGCTTTTATTTACCGCAAAATGCTGTGAAACGTTCCCATTGTGGGTTTATCAGAGTTCTGCTGCTGTCAATCCTTCTTTTTAGCTCCTATTTTGAAAAACAAATGTGAGAAATGACCATGAAATCTGTCTTCTGACCTAAACTTGGAGCCAAACCAGCTCCTCTCTCCTCCAAAACTCTTCAGAAGTTTCATCGTCTTGCCTCTGAGAAGCCAGATTTCATTCATAACCTCCCAGGTGCGCTCCACACCTGCCGTCTGGCTAACAGCCCACCCGTCTGTCCATCCCTCCTCTTCCCTCTGTCTCTGTTACCAACGGTAACAGTTGCCACGTCAATCACTCCCCCAACGAGGCCCTTCAAGGTCACCCTGGGTCTAAAGCGCTTCAGTCCTCATAGAAACAGACGACCATTAATTTTCACAGCGCTCTTCTCTCTCACAGCCCGGCTGATCACACTAATATGTTTATTTGCTGCTCCTGAGGAAATCCTCGACTCGGCGACCGGCTGGCGACATAAATCTTGCGATGAGCGGCGCGTTGACTCACTCTTTGATGCAATTTTAACCGCTATACGTCTACGTGGAGCTTCAGCATCACCTGTTTAATGGTGTGAAAATATGAATCTTTCTGCTTTGCGCCGCGAATCGCGCAAATGTCTCATCAGCTGCAAAGAGGTCGAATAGATGACCCACGGTTCATTGCATACCTGCTGAAGCGCCGCTTCAATTTGACAGCAACTCCCAAGGAGAAACATTTTAGAAGCATTTGATTTGTTTTCTTTTCATTCAGGTTGTAAACTCACACTTTGATAGATAGATTGTGATTCTTAGGTTTTTAGACCGCAGTGGACTGATGTGTTTACAAGATAATTTGCTGCTGGATATAGAGAAGATTAACACAATCTACCACCGGAAACTCACGCTTATTATGTCTGAGTAGTTTCTGTACCTTTCTCAAAAGAAATCATTCTTTGTGTGAAAAGATAATAAAATTTGATTGGGTTTATCTCAGAATGAACAAAGTTAAGCATCACGACTGCCTATTTTCTCCGTCACTGCAAAAACACAAAATCTTACCAAGTATTTTTGTTCTAGTTTTTAGTGCAAATATCTTAGTTTCGCCTTATTTGAAGTATACTAACTTACAAGTCACTTTTCAGCAAGAAAGTACTAAAAAAGTGAATAAATCTGCCTGTGGAAATGGTCCTTTTTCACCAGTGTTAAGGAATTATTGACTTAAAAGAAGCCCCTATTTGTTCTTTAATTACTTAATTGCTGCTCTGAATATGGTGTTCTTCCAGAGAATGGCCTTTTTGACGCTGGGTTAATCAAGCAATATTAGAGAACAAAAAAATAATAATTCCACTTAGAAAATAACTGCCAAGATTAAAAGAAACCACTATATCCTAATTCACAAATGTTAAACAATTACATTGTTTTTGTTGGGACACCAATTGATTATATTCTGTTTAATTTTTGTTTTGAATGTATCCATTTTAATGTATACCTCCTTGAATGTTTGTTTTTCTGCTTGTTTGGTTATTGCCGTTATTCGTTGTATTATCTGGTTAACTATTTTGTAGATCAATATGCCTTTATTCCACTTGAAATAAAATAAAACTTAAGACAAGTCAGGTTTGAGCAAGATACAGGAGCCTGTTTTAGGTCAATAACTCGTTAATATTGATAATAAAAGTTCCAGTTCCACTGGCAGATTTTTTTCACCTATTTCAAAATCAACTACCACTGCACCGTTACCTAGCAACCATAGCCAAGCCCAGCCTGTCACCTAGCAACCCAGTTCTAGTTCCACTGGCAGATTTTTTTCACTTAACAATATATTTTCCATGTTATAAGTAAAATAATCTACCATTGGAAGTAGTACTTTTAAAAAAATCAATATCAAGGAGTTGTTTACTTAAAACAAGCTCCTATTTTACTTCAAAGTTACTTGTTAGTTTTGTCTTGCTTCAAGTGTACTAATATATTTGCTGTAGAAAATGCTTTTTGTGTTTTTTCCGGTCTGCTTCTGAATTTTCTAAAGCCATTTATTGTGAGGAAGGATTAAATAAGAAGTACAGAGTTACACTTTCAAACTGAGACAATTGGGAGATAATAGCACGCAGAAAATCTGCAAGTAATTCAGTTTGTCTCCACATTTGGCATTAATTAACGGAAGTCAATTAAAATGGGCCAAGCCTTACCAATTGGACTCGCAATGCAATTTGCATCCTAATCAATCTTTGGAATATTATGCAGACATTTTATTTCCTTTCAACACAGCAACAGAATAAACACGACTAACCAATGTAACACTGTTGGGAAAACAATCGTGCAAACAAGTAAACAAGGAGTTTGAATATGTTTATGTTAGAATACAGGCATGCATCTGAGATAGGAGATTATCTCTTTGTTCGGTGTGTTAGTCAGACTCTACTTGTGACCTTTTCATAATTGAAACCGCGTGAGCAAGGCCGGGGTTTGGCTTCCTTGCGCCAGACTATTTCTTTTGCATTCGGTGCACTGTATTCCCACCAATACATCCATAGCTGAATACCTCTTTTTGACTGCCAGCGGTGCTCAATCTCACTTGTCTTGGTAACATCGTCATCCCTTTCACTAAGTACCAAATCAATAAGCAGTCTCTCTTTTCCAGATCATAATTCAAACAGACAATCGCGTCCGCCCTCTTTAGACATAAAACAGCAGCATGGGGAATGCATTTCACTGCATATTGAGGCGCGTGCAACATTTTAGCATCGAGCGACTTCAGTATGCAGCAACCGCTTCACTGCTGTAACCTCTGCCAAAGGAATCAATGCTTCCCATCCTCCCTCCAGCCTCCACTGCCAAGAAGACGCCTCCCTTCCTCAGTCCTCACCTCCCACCCCCAACAGACACAGCTGCAAATATGGCTTCAACACCCAGCTTCTATTTAAAATGCATTAAAGCATATTAGGGCATAATTAGATATTAGTTCCTAATCCATCGTCTTTACAATGAGGAAGCTTGGTAAAGACTGTAGGCTCTGGCTGAGGTGACGTTATTTAGCAAAATGCGCATAAAAAAAGCACTACCATATTTTTTGCAAGAATTGGGAATTTTGTTTCTTACAAACCAACAAAAAGGGGCAATATTTGTGTTTTCAGGGACATAGTCCCATTTTATAGCACAGTTGCATAACTATGTTGACTTCAGTTATAATGGAAATGCTATATTTATCAAATGACTTTGTAATTTAACTTCTTGAAATTGGGCCTCTGTCCCTTTAAGAAGCTTCTTTGCCTTCTGAAACTCCGCCTTCAGGAACTCATCTCAACATGGCTCTTCCATTAACCCTTTAACAATGTTTTTTCAGCATTTGTCTGAGAAATAGTTCTTATGAGCTCAGCAGATGCTCAATTTCACCAGGTGTTTGCTAATTGCTGCTGGCTAGTCTGAAGGAGCTGAGTGGTTGAGGAGGAGCTGTGTCTCGAAGGCAGGGCTATGTCCACCCAGGCGTTTTGCACAGCTGAATGGTTGCCATGGAAATTAAAATATTTCTCAAATATGCATGAAAGAATCAAAGCAACACTCCAGGTGTGTTTTTGATGAGAGAATAAGATAATAGCATGATTTAAAGCTCAAAAAATTGATTTTATGCAATACTGCTCCTTTAACAATGTCCCCAACTAAGATTTACCTTCAGATTGATTTCAAAATATTAGATTTTTTTTTAATTTTATGTGGGGGCAATCATTTCAGTTTTTCTCTTATAGTCTGGGAAAGTTTCCCTCACAGAACTCAGTGATATATGGTGTCATAAGCCCTTGCTCTGAATAATTAATAGCCTGTAATATTAGTGGTTAAATGAAGGGTGGCTGGAGTCCTGCTACTCTCTCCGCCCCGCTAGTCAAACTGGTCATTTCAGCTGCCTGGAAAATACCAGCGAGCCAATGCAGCTCATTGGTAGAGACATCTTCTGCAACTGGAGGGTCTCACATTGGATACTAAATGTATATTTGATGAGGCCCAAAAAAGGACAAAAGGTGACAAAGTCTATTTCAGAACGGTCGAGGACACGCAGAAACTAACCACAACAGCCATGTAGCCCTCAGACGATGAATTGTGCAGGCTGCCGCCGGCTGCTGTCATAGAAATGCAGCTGGTTAATGGAGAAAAAGACATACAGCAAATGAGTCAAACAGACTGAAGTAACAGGGCTGCAGATCAGCCTGGAAGCTGCAGTGTAGCATGAAGATTTTATTTTTTCCTCCTGATGGACCATTTGTTGGACAGTTTGGTACTCTGAGATG